CCCCCCCCCCCCCCCCCCCACACACACACACAGCCCCAGAGGGCAGCAGGTCGGGCTGCTTTCTGCTCAGTACCTGGAAAACGGTGACGATGGCCCAGAGCAAGGAGTCGAAGTTCTTCCTGTCGGGCAGAGTGTCGCCGTCCCGCTCGGAAGCGAACTTGCAGCCAAAGAGGTGCATCCCCAGAATGCTGCGAGGAGAGCGCAGTGCTGAGCCAGGGCTGCCCCGCAGTGCTGCCCCCAGCTCCAGCACAGCCCTGCATCCCATCTTTAAAAGATGAGTCACTCCTTCACTGAAAAGCACTCCTAGAGAACATGCAAACTGAGAGTGAATTTGGGTCAACCGTGTCGCACGGCTTCAGAAAGTGAGCCCTTCCTTTTCTTTTCCTTTGTGTTTTGTCAGCCACAACATTTTGTTTCAGCTCCTTCTAAACAAAATGTTTTGACTTTCCGCTTTGCGATGACACAATTTTCAGCAAAACATCTTAAACTGAGCGGGGAAGACAAAAAGGGTTCCTGCGAAAAGCCTGAACGGAGCGTATCAGGGGGCTCACCACATCTTTTCCAATTCTGACATGAAAACAGAATACCTTTCATTTCAGATTGATGCTAAAGGAATAATTTATCTTCCCCTGCTCTCGGCCAGTAACCTGCATAATCACATTATTCACAGCTCTGTTCAGCATCGTGGCAGCAAACAGCGCTTTGGAGCAAAATGCCTCACTGGGAAAAGGATCATTACTGCACAGAGCAGCTTTCATCAGCCTTCCAGCACTGGGACACTGGAGGACTGGATGTTACACGGCCTTGAGTTGAAACCCAAACCCAAACCTATTTCTAGCATTCCCACTGCAGAACTTGACTTCTCTGAGGAGGCCGTGCCAGAGCACGAGCACCACTTCTGCTCCTTTATTTTAGCAACATTGCCCTCTTCCTTAACAATATTCTGAGCACCAGGCTCGTCTGCGTGTAATGGGACAGATGTCTCAGGGTGGTGTCAAGGAATCATCCAGATGAAGGATTTTCCTTGCAAATCATCTCGCGAAGACAGATGTCTGATTTGGCCAGAATTAAACGAAGATTGTCATCGAACCTCTGCCAGTGCTGCGCTGGGACTCTGAGCTCAGAAATGCCCCAGCACGGTCCCCTCGCATCCCCATGAGATCCCACTGAACACCCCAGAACGCAGAGCTCTCACCAAGCACCCACCTAAATATGAAGATGAAGAGCATCAGCAGCATGCAGAAGGTGGCCACATTGTCCATGGTCTTCATGAGGACAACAAGCTGCCGCTGCAGGGCTGGCATGAAGCGCACCAGCTTCAGAACCCGCATGAGCCGGAAGGTCCGCAGCACTGAGAGCCCCCCGCCTTGCTGCCCCACGATCTCCCACACGCTGAGAGGAAAAGAATTCGTTGTGGGATGGGCAGAGAACACCTGGCACGAAGGCAGGGGGAGAAGAAGCAAAGGAGAGGGGGGAATTCGGAGGGAAGAGAGATGGGGAGCGGGAGACCCTCCATGGGCAGAGAGGAGCTCCCAGCGCCTCCTGGGGCTGAACCCAGGGTCAGCAGCCCTCAGCTTCAACCGCAGTTCTGTATGTGCCCAAAAGCAGTTATTTAACTGGGCACTCGTTGTGCCATTTGGGTCCCAGACTCTCCCAAGACACATAGCTTTCTGCATGGGCCTCTCTCTGAAACGACCAGAAAATAACCTCAAAACATCTATTAGCAACTGTGTCTGATTGTGTTAACTTACAGCAGAGAGAAGCGCCATAGGAAGGCAGTTATGCCCACTCACCATTAGGTTCCATTTTAATGGGCTAGCCAAATGAAGGGAAGCTCTAGGTTTGTACCTAATCACCACGATGATCCCATCAAAGATGTTGTATGGGTTCTTAATGTAGCCAAAGGGGCCGTAAACGAGGACTTTGAGCAGCATCTCCAGGGCAAAGAGGCTCGTGAAGACGATGTTGCTGATCTCCAAGGCGTTGGTGAGCTCCTCCGGCTGGAAAAGAAGGGGTGGAATGGTTCGTTGTCCATTTGGAAAATACACCTGGAAACACAGCCAGCCCAAATAGCACAGGTGTGGGAACGTGAGGCTGATGGCAGCGGGACAACGTGGTGATAGCTCACTTGAAGCCCAGGAGAGAGAAGGAAAACACCATTAGATATGTCATGCTTATACATCTGTTGGAAACTGAGGAGTGAATCCAGATGTGGACTTTGCATCATGGCAGCATTAGCAGTAGGTTTATGTCAAAGTGTCATGAACCAAACGATTTAAGCTAAACCTTTCTAGAGCAGAGGCTTTGGGTGCTAGAACTGAAATACCTCCCAAAAACTCACTATCAGGAGACCTGAACACCACTACTGCAGAAGGGCCCAATCCCAGAGTTTCAGCCAAGCAACCTAGAAGTAGAAAAAGAAAAAACCAGCAAACTGACTTCCAGCAATCTTGGACCCAAACGAATGCCTTTTGTGTTTTTCTGACACGCTTTGCAGGGGGTTCCCAACAATGCCTGCAGACACCAAGCGCTGCGCTTTCCGTGGCAGGTGGGCGGGCATAATTGGAAAACATATGGCAGAAGACAAAACCAGTGCTGCAGTCTGCTTGGGATCAGGCTTCACCACCAGCATCATCAGGAGGAGATCTCAACCCAAAGCCCTTCTCCCCATTTAACCCCAAGGCACAGCCACAAGCACAGCACAGCCACGGCACCACAGAAGCTTCAGGTCCCAGCCTCAGCAGGCAGCGTGGAGCCCAAAGGCTTGGTGCCTCCATCCTGCTCAGAGCATCATCAGCTCTGCTTCAGAGACAGGAGAAACCAAAGGTTTTATGGCTATATGCTGTCTATAAACAGTTAAATCCCCATGGGCTTCCAGCCCCTGCTGTTTCTGTGTGTTGAAGTCTCCAGCCACAGCTGGCCGAGTCTGTTTAGCTCGAGTTCCTCCACCCCAATGCGGTGGCAGCTGGGGACTCAAACTGCTCTGACGTTATCTCAGCAGTGCAGCAGTCCCAGAGGACCTGCGGAGGTCCTGGTGGGACTTTGTGATGACAAAGCAGCAGTCCCCAGGTGGCAGAGCAGGAAATGGCAGCAGCAACAGAGAAAAATAATTGAAAAGGAGAAAAGGGGGATTTGAATGCTTCCTGTGCCTCAGACATCCTGGTGGATGAGCATCCCCTTGGCTGGCATCTGCCAAGCACACACCTGACATGACCTGGAGTTCAAGTGCCAACACTCGGCTCCCAGTATGAAACACAGTGCTGGTTGAACATCCCATCCCTGTGGGAAGAACTCGGACACGAAGTAACAAACAGGCTGGGAACCCATACAGCAAGCTGCACCTCAGGACAATTTTAAACAGCTGAAAGCCTACATTCCCAAATGTCAGCAAAAATGCCAGCTCAGGTAGAAGTGCCCCCGTGCCGCAGCAGCAGAGCTCTCACCACTGCAGCAGCAGTGCTGTAGGGAGCAGCGTGCTCCAGGCACAGTGGGGAGCCCTGCACTGCCTGCCATGTGCCCACCAGCCCCTCCTCCCTACTGGGTTGTACCCAAAAAGCCTCCTGCCCTCTGCTGCTGCTCCATGTGATCTTTCCTATTTCCTTCGCAGGAAAATGATCCAAACAACTGAGATGCTGAGCGCACATTGTGAAAGCGGAGCGGGATCTCCTGAAACTCAATGGAGAATTAATAATAAAAACCTGAGATATTAATGGTCCAAACAGACTGAAGCAGGCAGGGAAGCCTCCTCTCTCCAGGCAGAAGATGTGCATCCCCAGCACAGCCCAGAACTGTCGCAGGAAAGGAGCATCCCGAAGAATTATTCTGCACTGGGAAACAGCAGGTCCCAAGGCAGCAGATGGGTGCTGTGAGTTACACAGAGGGTTTCCTTGGGGTGCTCCCATGTGGGCAATTCCCATGGCGCAGCTCATGGGGCTCCACATCCCTTCCAAAGGACGCATCACCGCTGTGCCATGAGCAGTGCCTTCACACACCTGGGAATTATCTGTGGGGATGGAGCTGGGCTGCGCTGTGTGCCCGCCCGAGGGGATGCTCACCCTGCAGGGACTCAGAGCCTGGGGGCAACGCCAAACCCCAGCTATGGGATTCCCAAGGAGCCACGTGCACAGATAATGAGGCTGCTCAGAAGGTGCTGCTGCCTTCGGGAAATCACAGGCGTGTCTGAAGCATCCTCCCTTTGGCAGCACTGAAATCCTGCAGGGAAGTGGCATTTCCATCCAGTGGGAATTAAAACTGTCATCTCAAAGTAGATGGAAGAGTTTCAGATGTGGCCAACTCCAATGTTCTGAAAGCCCTGCTCTTCATGCCAGCCCCTACTCCCTCATCCATTTGCTCTGTACCCCATATTGGAATAGGAAAATATAAATAAGTCAGCCTGAAGAACACGGAAACGTTTGTTCACAAAATGTTCAAACAGATGCTTCAAATATCTCAGATAATGTTTATATATATATATATATATCTAAAGTGAAGTCTGCTAATCTCCTCATCAGTAGCAGCAGTGACTAATTACAATGAAAACATCCTATGATTAAATGAGCAGCATCCAGAAGCAGAGAGATGCAGGCATCAGCTCATCCTGCATAAATCCAGGATTGTGTCTCCAGGACACTCTCCCCACCGGACACACAGACGTGGTGCCCTGGATACATCACCCCCTGTTAGCTCTGTGTTGGCACAGTGTCAGTGTGTTGCTGTACAGCACAGCACGTTGATGAAAGCTGGCAGCACATAAAGCAGGAGAAGCAGCAAACAAACACCGTGCTGCAAAACAACACGGCGGGGAGCGGGGGGGCGAGCGGGGCTGGGGGCACGGGCACACAGAACACCCCGAATTCGGCCTCAGAAGAAAGAAAACATCCATCCCATTCACCTCCCTTCCCCCACGCATGCTGGGGGAGCACCCCAAGCCCAGCCCAGTGCTCACGTGGGCTGTGCTCCCCCACTCCCCACAGTAGGGTGATGGGATGCTACCAAACACCCTGGCACGCCTTGCAGAGAGCTCACCATGCTTTCATTCCTGCATTCCTTCCAGCCCTGACAGCACAGTGACCGTGCCACAACCCAGGAGTTGGAATCGATCCTTAATGGGTCTCTTCTAACTTGGGTGCTGTGTGCCATAGAACCACAGAATGGGCCATCAGCACCGGACCTACAAACACAGGGGTCGTGTGGGCACACCTGGAGTGGTTGTGCCCTGCCAAGGGGGGTCTGCATCCTGCCCAGAAGCACCTGAGTGGCTTTCCCCTCTATCTCCCTAACAACAAAACAGAACACCAAAACCTTCCATTCCCCAGTGCCAAGGGGTGCCTGGGGGGCAGGGAGGGCCCCACGGAGCCCAGCAAAGAGCATCCAGGACGGCTCACAAACTCTCGAGCCTTTCCCCAACTGCGGAACAGAGCCCTCCTGAAAGCATTTCCATGGCAACTGGAGAAAAATACCACAGAAAGAAAATAACGACCTCAGCTATTTCCCAGGAAACACCAACATTTTACTGAGTCATCACCTGCAGATTTTATATACATATATTTATATTTTTATATATTTACATAAGAAAAATCAAACAGGTCACATAAACAGGTGAATCTGCTCTGCCCTCAGCCTGACACCCTCCCTCCAAAGGCTCCCTGCACTCCCTGCGGGTGCAGATGGATGCACTGCGTCCTCCTCGAGGCCCGAGCAAGACGGGGGCAAATGTAAGGAATTCGGATGAAGGGAAGCAGCCATCAATCAGCAAAATGCCCTGTCCCACACTGACTGCCCATCATTCAGAGCTGGCAGCTGGCTCCAGAAAGAAGCAGATGGACAGGGATTTACCCATTGCCCAGGTCCAAGCTGTGCTGTGAGGCTTTCCCTACAGATCCTTTGCCAAAATGGCTAAAAAGAAGAATTTCCCTCTTGGAAGAGGGCTTGGGAAGCAGCAGGATGGAGGGCTCACACTCGGCTCCTCCACCCACCGCACCCCAACATGCATTTCCCCACAGCTGTGCCCCTGCACCCAGCCCACAACTGCACCACGGTCTGCTATCCTGCCCCATCGCCCTGCAGCCCTACACCCGATCCTCGCAGCCACAGCAGCTGCCTGAGCTCCTCATCTCCCCCAGCCTGAGATTTCAGGATGAATATTATCCCAGAAAATGCAAGAGAAACACGGAGCAGCTCATCCCTGCACCCGGGTTTCGGAGGAGCTTAAGCTGAACAAAAGCTGCATTTCCACTTGGTCACACCTTGTAAGCACTTGAGATTTAAAGCCCTCTATTTCTAGTTAAGCTCCACCAAGTTTCCAACTTATCTCCCCATTAGTACTTGAGAAGTACCGAGGGGAGGGAGGGCAAAAAGAAGCAGGGAAGGAGAAGGCTGAGCGGCACCTGCACGGATCTGCTGAGACCGCCTTCCGGCGCCCGAACGCCAGCTCTGTTGCTGACAGCGGCCGCGGGGGAACGCTGGTGGTTTCCTTCCTTCAGCAAATGCACGTTCATAACACAGAGCTGAAAACTGGGGCTGAGGAGGGACGCGAACCGACCTCCGTCGGGGAACCGGGGAAGGCGAGAGGTGACGGCTGGGAGGGCGCAGAGGAAGCCGCAATCAGGGCGTTCGCGGGAAGCTGGGGATCTCCCGAGCTGCGCTGTGTGCGGGCTCCCAGCCGGGGGTCGCAACCGCAGCCATCAAAGCCGAGCGGAGAGGAACGGCCGGATATCTGCCGAGCAGGGACGTGCCGTCCTCGTGGGGAAGGAGCCACCTCCAGAAATGCATCTCGTGCCGTTTGGCCGAGCAGAGGCTGTTGTGGGCGCCGGCAGAGCAGCGATAGCGCGGGGCGCTGATGGCAGCTGAAACAACAGCCGTGTGGGGGGAGACCGGGCAGCACGAGGAGCTCCAACCCCGAGCCAAAAGCACCGGGCAGGATTGGTGCTCACAGCTCCCATCCGCAGAGCTGAAGGAGACTTCAGGGGATGTTGCAAACCCGCGTCAGTTCATCCATAAC